CCCCAAAACCCCAAAACCCCAAAACCCCAAAACCCCTTGTTAAAATCCTCTAGTTGAAATTAAAAATTTATTTAGGCAAATGCCAAAGATCATTAACGCTGATATCCTTACACTTCACATGGTTCAAGCGCCCACTTCTAAACAAAGGTCATGAGGAAGTTTACTGAGCTTGAGCTGATGAATTCTTATAAAGTTTCTGCTTGATGAAAGAATTGTGCATTCAAAGCTTGCGTTTTCTCCTTCTAGGTTCTTGCCTGGAATTCAGCTGCTCAATTCTCACTGTTGGAACCTTAGTTGCAACCATCTTGTTCCTTTTCAGAGAAGGAATACGAGGCATCAAGCCCTTATTGAAGTATCATGCAATTTCTTCCTTCGTTCTTCGACAATCTCTTTGACTCTGTGAGTCCTTAATTTTTTTTGTATTTCCTTAATAACTCTGGGATAGATTTAACTAACAAACTTGTCATGTTTCTTTTATTAACGAAGAAAATTGCAAAATTATAGCAGTAAATTTATCTATGATCATGAATTTGCATAGCATGCTATACATCACCTCAAATTTTAGCTTAAGAGGGCAATAGCCAAGTAGTTTCTTACCTCAGTCTGAGATGGATCCAACTATGATAACCTCAGGGGCCTTATTTATACTACATTGCTTTACAGGATTTTCAACTATGCCATTATCTAGCCTATAAAACTGTCATAAATTCTCCAGAACCTAGCCCATTTTAGACCAAGTGATGTTGCCTCATCAGTTGGGCATATATAGAATATTCTACATGATTGTCAAGACTCCTAAATTCAGGGAAACAAGTCAGATAATATCAAGGGATGTATCCTGATAAGTCTTGATGAGTTCTTAAAAAGTTGTAACGGAATTTACCCATAATATGTATCTGAGGCAGTCTGGTTCTTCTAGATTTAGAGGAGTGTTACCTTCCGTTTGGAGCCCACCAGTTTCGTTTCCTCCGAACTAAGCCTATAGATCAGCAAATTAGCATTTAAGAGAAAGAAAGGACCTCTGAGGATTCTCTAAGAGTCTGGATATTCAGAGAGTTGGCCGTAAAATAGGAACTGAATTAGCCTACCTTTTGTGTTCTTTGCAAATTGGGTTGTATCGTTCGGTAGGAGAATTTCTACAAGTTTGGCCCAAAAATTACCTGCTCGCGAGTTTTCTGTTAGAAAAGCACACTTGTTGGGAAGCACTACAGTCTAGTAACAATTCTGGTTTACCTTCTTGATGGCGCACTTGTCTGTGTCTGATGATCTATAGAGGTATTTAAACTAGGATTTTTGAAAATATAGAGCTTGGAAGTATTGTTAACTGAATCCCTGAATCGCCACTCATAAAAATGCACGGAGTCCTTAAAACTTACTCAGACTCAGCTTTGATTTGTAGCCCATCTGAGATTTCTTGAGAAGATTTAACCTATTTCGACCTATAGGTTGTTCAGTAAAAGTTATACTCTGATTTTTCTTAACAATGGATGTATTAATACAACAAGGCCCTCAAGCTCTACAGTTTTGATACGTTATTTTACCTCTTATTAAATTGAAAAAGACTCATGGAGGGGCTTCCGAGCCGTTGTGGCTATATCTATTTTACTATCTGCATTGCGGTGGAAGAATTTTCTAGATGCTGAGAAAGCAGCTCTATCTTCATATGTACTATAAATAGTATCTGTAGCCTTCTTGTCAGAGAAGACTACTCTATTTCTTTCCTTCAGAGCTGAACTTGACTTACTCTCTTTTTGAACTGGCTCAAGGTCTTTATAAGCTATGGCTGGCGAGATCCTGTAAAACTTCTTGATATTTGTCCGTCTCTCTTTATTAATAAACGGTAAGACCATAAAAGATACTTTGAATGATTTTTTGTTTGGGCTGAGAGTAATAAATCATTTAAATATTTTATTTTGGAGAGGGGTTTTGGGGTTTTGGGGTTTTGGGGTTTTGGGG